ATTGTCTGATTCAAAATAGATAATACCAGTCCATTTCAGCTCACTAATGCCTAGGATGTCGATCTTTATGTGTTCCATTTCATTTTTGACAACTTCCAATTTTCCTAGATTCATACTTCGTACATTCCACATGCCAGTTATTAATGGATGTTTGCAGCTGTTTCTTCTCATTTTGAGTCATGCTGCATCAGCAAATGAAGGTCCCAAAAGCTTGACTCCATGTCATTAAGGTTGACTCTACTTTCAGGAGGCAGCTCTTCCCCAGTCATATTTTAAGTGCCTTCCAACCTGAGGGTTTCATCTTCTGGCAATATCAGACAATGTTCAGCTGCTATGTCTAAGGTTTTCACTAGCCGATTTTTTCAGAAATAGACTGCCAGGTCCTTCTTCCTAGCCTGTCTTAGTCTGGAAACCCAGCTGAAACCAGTCCACCAAGGGTGACCCTGCCAGTATTTGAGATACTGGTGGCAAAGCTTCCATTTTCACAGCAACACACGAGCCACCACAGTACGACAAACTGAGAGACACGTGGTGGGGGGATGGTCTTGGGGACCCCCAGCTGTGGACTTATGGTTTCCTATTTTGTTCAGTGGCTTTTTATCTGACGTTATGTTGCTGTTCACTCAATTTGCCAAGATTTGACCAGTGGGAGCCCCTTCAATGACTTCTGTGTTCTCTGGACATGTCCCCCTCATTCTTGAGCATCTCCTTGCTTTCTGACACAAGATGTTTCAGACTCATCTTGTACTTACCTTGCCCCAGTCCTGGAATCAGCCATTTGCCAAGGAGCTCTAGTTCCTTTTACTGGGGAATGGCTTTTAGAAACCAGTATCTGGATGCTAGGTGTAATCATTGCTGTCGAGTGTCACTGCTCCCAGGCTATCTTGGCAAACAGAACAATACATATACATACACATGGCATCCCTGGGTAGCGCAAACAGTTAAGCACTCAGCTGCTAACCACAAGGTTAGCAGTTCAAGTCTACCCACAGGAGCCTCAGAAAAAAGGCCTGGGAGTCTGCTTCCACAAAACCAGCTACTGAAAACCCTATGGAGCACAACTCTACTCTGACACATATGGGGTTACCAGGAGTTGGAATCGACTTGACAGCAACTGGGTCTGGGTTATACACACACATATGCATAATACATTTACATAAATATTTCCTATCTGTATATTGACAGCTATTAGTTTACACTGATACCTCCAATTCCACTTCATTATCTCCTTTTCTCTATTTCTAACCCCGTTCTCTGACAGTGAGAAAGCTGGCTTCCAATATCCTTAGTATGTTTACATATCTTATCTATATATAACCAATTTCTCATTTCATTCATTGCCCACATGGACACCCTTTTAGCTCCACCTGATTGCTGGCAACTAATTCAGACCGCCCCTCTACATGGATGCCTTTCTCTCCCTACCCAGGCTTTGATGCCTCATACTGTACAGCCCTTCTACATAGACATAGATATCACCCTGCTCTGGCTTCAACAAACCCAGAATCCACAGTGTGCCTACTTAACTGTTCCCCACCTGAAAACATTAGGGTTGTTCAGAAAGGGAAGGGAACTCATTTCATACAGAGAGCACTGCCCTGAGAGTGGAACCAACAAGGACATAAGAAAGGAAAATTATAGGTCAACCTCAAAGATGCAAAAATCCTAAACAAAAATGGTAGCAAACTGAATCTAATGATACATACCAAGTGGGACTTGAATGGATGGTTGATTTGACATTCAGAATATTAAATTCACATTAATACAATGAGATGCAAAGTATATAAAATTCCGCATCCACTCATAATTAAGGAAACATTCTCTTAGTAAGCTTAATAAGAATGCCAACTATCGCTACATCTATTTAACATTGTACTGGAAGCCTAGATTGAGGAACAAGACAAGCTAGAAGTGGAAAAGGAAAAAACTTTTTTATTTGCAGATGATATAATTGGGTATGCAGAAAATCTAAACTATTTAAAATAATAAGGGACTTTTGCAAGGTTGCTAGATGAAAGGACTTTAATAATTTGTTCTTGAGAATATATACAGCAAAAACAAATCAAGTTTTTACAAGTACAATTTAATGATTACATTCTTCAAGTTGTGCAACCATTGTCACATGCCTTCTCTGAGTTGTTCCTCATTTTAAACTCACTGCCCCCTATCCTTTCGTTGTCAATTTGACGCCATATAGATAGATCTTAAGAGCATAATGCTCAAGGCAGACATTCTTAAAATAGTTAACCTATTGTTTGGTTTTAAGATGACTTCAGGGGATACTCTTGGTTTAAGGTTTAAAGATTATCTTAGGGCAATGATACAGCCTCTGTGGCTCCAGGAAGTCTGATTCCATGAGAAAATGAAATTCTGTTCTGCATTTTCCCCCTTTTGATCAGGATTCTCTTATGGAATCTTTGATCAAGATGTTCAGGGAGGCAGTTAGCCACACATTTCCATTTTCTCCTCCTATTCCTGACTCTTCTTCTTCCTGTTGCTCCAGAATAGAGAACGTTTGTTGTTGTCTTGGATGAACACTTGCAAGCCCTTAACACCCCAGGCACTGCACAACAAACTAAAAGCACTAAACATTATTAGACCAATTAACTGGGATGTCCTATGAAACCATGACAAAGGACTTATTTTCAATCTCAGTGAAAAACATTTCACTATTTAGAATGTTCTGCAGACATTTCTTATCAGATGAAGAAGGTTCCCTTTATATATAGAAATCTTGTATTTCTATATACCAGCAAGAAATAAATTGTGAAATTTAAAAAACCATACCATTGACAATTGCATAAAAACAATAAACCTAACAAAACATTACAAGATACACATGCACACACTATATAAAACGTTCCTGAAAGCAAACCTAAGTAAGTACAGAAATACACAAGTGTTCATGGATTGGGAGATACAACATTATAAAGATGTCAGTTCTCTCCAAATGGATCTGTGAAACCCTTGCTTAGGAATCTTCTTAAAGATTGCAGATGTGAAAGGATTAAATCACCAATGCACCAATAATTTACACCAGTGCTATAAAAAACCTGAAAGTTTGGATCTAGCTTTAGGTTCAGGGCAGGTAATCCTGTGAAATTCTGCACACAGCCACTGGTTTTTAATAAACAGATTAAAACCCATGCTAGAGGAGTACTTAATTTATTTCTACTGATAACACATGCACTTTGTTGACTAAAAGCAACAACTCACTGCTTAGCAGCTGTAGAGGTAACCAACAGGCAAAAGTGCTTAAAATCCTCAGATTTGACCAGAGGACACTCACAGTTTGGGAAAGCTATCTAACAATAAAAACACTTTGTATTTCTAAAAAGGGATTGTTATGAATACGGAAATTTCCCCCATTGTAACATTAAAAATGTGCTAACTTTTCAGAACTTTAACATTTGTTTCTGCATGGAACTGATAATTCTACAAATTATCCAAAGTTGATTGATAGTTATTTGCAATACATTTAATTTTGTGATAAGATTATGTTTGAGTAAGACGTTTTAATATTATTCTGTGTTCCCTCGATTACTTTTTAATGTGTTCAGTTCCTCTTCCCTTTTAAAAATTAAGTGAATAAAATCAAATAATAGCAATTGATTTATGAATTGAAAATAGAGACAAGTTCAACTCCAAAGCTTATGCTTTTAAACAAGATTCAACATCTTTTATTTACATATTTATGACATACATTTATGGTCTCATACAATTAACTAAATCTAATAACAGTGGTGAGGATGGAACATAAAAAGACACAATTCCAAATTTTAGTCATGTTGAAGTACATTTTCACAAACTGAAAATACAGTAACCTAGCAGCCATTATAAAGTTACGGGCTATATGTGAATTCACTTCTTGAAATTGAAAGTCAGCCACACAGCTATTAAAACAATGGAACATTTGCAAATGCAAATATTACATGTACAGGTATAATGCATGCATGGCTATCACATTTATTCTTTAGCCTTAAAGCCATTTTTAAAGTAAACGAGGAAGTATCTCAATAATATATGTACATCAAGGCACATTCTTTTCTTGTGCTTTAGGAATGATTTACATGTGATTTGCTTATTTCTTAACTTTACACCTTGTAATAGCTTCTAATACTTTAAAGTTTAATTTTGACAATTATAGCTTCAGTGGTAATTTCTTAGAAAAGTGGAATCTCCTTATGATTATTCTGAAAATCAGAAAATTGGACAGCTTCAAGATGTGGGAATTTAAAATCAAACACACGAATTAATATAGTTTTCAGGTAACTTTTTAAAATAATTTACTTTCAATAATTTGGTGGACTGTAATCATTTAATTTCTTCCAGTAGTGTTACTATAATGAGGGCTTCATTGAAGAATTTTCAGTATTTCTCAATTTACTTGATGATTATATGGTATCATGGGGCTACTGCAGATGTCTATATTTCTTTCCTATTTCTAAACTGTAGTTTTTCAACAAAATTAAACAATTAAACATGATACAATAGCTGAAAACATACCAAACCGAGTTTTAACTTGTTCATTCTTCAGCAAAAGAACTGGATTTTTTTTTCTTTCCATGTATCGACCTATATTATCAAGGAGAAATTCCCATCAACACTACTGCATAACAGAGCTCTTTTCTCATGGCCAGCTTACCTGCCTTGAAGAGATTGTATACTAAGGCTTTAATACGCATTGCATGCATTTTAATGGCATTTAAAAAGTTAGCTATTAATTTATGGTTTCCCCATATAAGTATACTGTGCAAACTTGATTATAACATGTAACTTACTAAGTGCTTTAAAACAGAATAAGATCCCTGACTTAGAGGGGGTTAAAATAAATAGTCAACAATCACAGATTTGAAGCATTTAAAAAATGTAATATACATTCTACTAAAATGCTTTATATTAGAATTTTCTTTTTAATCCATAAATGGGGCAAATGAAATCATAGAACCTTACCTTTACATTTTGAGGATAAAAAGAGAAGAAAAGCCCATTGGTGCAGCCTCTTAAACTCAAAATATATAATAGTGTCAAAATGCAAATGAAACTGAGCAGTTTTTGATTTAGTACAGTCCTTTATAAACATTAATTCATAAAAAATTATACCATGATAAACCACTGCCATCAAATATATTCAATTTCTTTACAGTAAATGGATCTTTCTGCAGGACCCACTGGCCAAACAAACCATTTAGAAATGTCGCACCATCGGTAAACAGCGCAGAGCCTTGACATACAAACTCTTAAGTGGATAGTCACACAGTACTGTAAACAAATGTTCTGTGAGTTCAGTGTACATGAAATGTCACTTCGTTTTAATCTCCATTACTATTTATTTATTCTGCTTCTGAAATATGTGCCACCTCTACTTCAACAGTCTGAATAGCTTCTGCAACTTCAGAGAGCTTCTGTCCTTGCTGCTGTGCCAATACATAATTAACCACTTGCATAATACTTTGGTCAGAAAGCGTAGACATGGATGGACATTCTTCAGTAGCTGCAACAGCTTCGAGAGCTTCCATAGTTTCTCCTGTCACTACTACAGTCTCCAGTTCCTGAGGACCACTGCTTACTTGTTCCTGCATGTCTGCTGTTAAGATGCTAACAGCATGCTCCACTTGAGTTCCTTGGTTATGAAACTGAAGGGTGTCTTTCTCCAGCATAATTTTGCAAGGCACATAATCTCTGTGGAATTTAGTCATATGTTTGCGAAGTGTTCGAGCATCTATGTAGGCTTCACTACATACAGGACAGACATAGGGCCGCTCACCAGTATGTGTTCTGACGTGGCGTTTTAGAGATCGGGCATCAGCCCAAGCTACTCCACATGTCAAGCACTCAAATGGCTTAACTCCTATTAAAAAAAAATGAGGGGGTGTGGTGAGGTGCAAGTACCAAAATATATTAAAGTTGCCCGCTAAATGTTTTTCTTTTAGTAGTAAACCACTAGCCTTTCTATCTTGACTTTGGCAATCTTTTATTCAGGACCTAATTATTTATCTTAGAATAAACAAGATTCTGCACTATAATCTCTCTAAAGATGTTCTCATGTGTAGATACTACTGAGAAACAAATTTGAGTTAAATGGGTTCCATGCATAATCTTACTCCATCTTCACAGCAATCCTGTAATGATAAATACCTAAGATAAGGAAACTGAGGATTCACATAGTCTAGTTCTACATAAAAATGCTGATATAGCTCACTAAAAAAGAAATCCACGTATATATATCATTAGATAATCTGGTTCAGAATCACCTGTATCAACGGAATAAGTGTTCCAAGATGTGGGAGTAAGCTCTGATCAAGGAAGGTATGGTAGTAGGCAAGAGGAGAGCAGATGAAAGGAGAATCACTGCTGGACTGACTTTCATTTAGATACATATGATATTAAGTACAGTTACCTTCATGGTTGTTCATGTGTCTCCTGTACTCTCTCAGCTGAGTGAATTTTCTTCCACATTGTTCACATACCCATTCCAGGTTTTGCTTTGCTCTTCCTTTTTTGCCATGGGTAGCTTTCTTTACATGCCTTCTGAACAATGCTTTTTCATAAAATTCTTTGCCACATATATTACACCTAAAATAGGGGGAAAAACCCTCAATTATTTTTTCAAAACACCAGGAGCCTTAAGAATCAATCCAAGTATGTATCTGTGTGTGTGATGTGTGTGTGTGTTATCAAGTTCAGATCCTTCTCACATTTACCCACCTGTAAGGCTCAGTGACAGAATGAGACTTCACATGGGAATACCAATCTTTCTTCCAACTATAGCACTTATCACAAAATTGGCACTGGAACGGCTTGACACCAAGATGTTTGTTCATGTGCTGACGAAGATCTCTTGCTTCAAAGAAACTTTTTTCACATCTGCAATAATAAAGTTCAATCACCTAACTGGATCATCTTATTCCTTTAAAGCAAGTTTCCAAGAACTCATTATATGCTAAAGTTTCTAGAACCCCACGATAAAATGATCCCAATTTAAAATAAAAGAATTTCCTAGCATTCCAATCTTGTATCAAGGCTGCAGGATTTTAAGTTCTTTTACCTCTAGAGCATTAGAAATATTTTAGAAAGAATCATGAGGAGTTCCCAAAAGTTATTATAATGGACATTGTCTCCTCCCTTTTACAGAAGGAGCCCTAAATTTTCATTTTGAGATTCACCCCGCTCCCATTCTCTGTCCATGTGCCAGGGATAAGCTTCACCACTGACTCCAGGGAGGGAGCAGTGACTCAGGCCTAAATCGGAACACAGCATTCACCACAGTGTTTGATTCAGGGGTGACCAAATGACTTAATCAAATCAGAGAGAACCTCAGGGCTTTTACAGGAACTACTAGAAAAGAAGCTTGACTACCTGAGAGTTGAAGTGATGTGAGGCTGGAAAGCTGCCACTACTCTGTAACCATATGAAGCCTGAGGGAAACCAAGTACTAATGAATCTGAACCCAGCTGAATTAAACCATTCAGACTCCTAGACTTTACCTTTCAATTCAAGCCAGTTTAGGTCAGCTTTTCTTTCATTCACAACTGGAAATGTCTTGATAGTAAACTTTGTTTTAAGATAAGACTGATTAGAGTGACATCAGCAAATATGGCAGAGTAGGGAACTCCAAGAGCCTACCTATCCCTCCAAAAAAGCAGGGAATAAACTGGCAAAAACTGTGAGAACCAGCTTTATCAAAACTCTGGAAATTAATAAAAAGTTTACAGCAACCAGGCAAATACTTAATCAAGAACAAAACCTGAATTTCACTAAGAGAGCTTTGTGGCATTTTAACTTACCTTAGCCCCATGCCCTGCTCCCCAACTTGGCAATGGCCTTGAAGACAACAGCCCACATTCCCAGTACAGGTCTCTAGTATCACAGGGAGCAAAATGGACCTTATTGTCAAAGGTAAATGTATTAGCTGCTCACTCCTGGGGCAAGGAATAACAGTTGGACATACAAGAGACAAATCAAAAGCTTGAGGGTCAAGGCTGGGGAATGAAGTGCTTTGGGGAATGTTGTTGTTGTGTGCTGCTTAGTTAATTCCAACTCATAACAACCTTATATGACAGAATAGAACTGCCCCATACGGTTTCCTAGGCTGTAATCTTTATGGGAGCAGATTGTCAGGTCTCTTCTTCTGCAGAGTGGCTGGTGGGTTCAAACAGCCAACCTTTCAGTTAGCAGCCGAGCGCTTAACCACTGCACCACCAGAGCTTTGAAAAACTTTCACATATTCCTGGGAATCTAGAAGGCTATGCGCACGTCCAGGGCTGGGCTGGGCGTATGCTCAGAAAAGACCTGAGAAGGCCCTAAGCTCTCACCTCTGGCTGACCTTCAGGCTCTGCACAAGCAGGAAGCAAAAGCTAAGGCTGAGCTATAAACTGCCTGCCTGAGTGTCATGGATTGAATTGTGTCCCCCCAAAAATATATGTATCAATTTGACTAGGCCATGATTCCCAGTGTTGTGTGGCTGTTCTCCATTTTGTGATTGTAATTTTACCTTAAAGAGGATTAGGGTGGGATTGTAACACCACCCTTACCTAGGTCACATCCCTGATCCAATGTAAAGGGAGTTTCCCTAGGGTGTGGCCTGCACTACCTTTTACCTTACGAGAGATAAAAGGAAAGGGAAGTAAGCAGAGAAGGGGGACCTCATACCACCAACAAAGCAGTGCCAGGAGCAGAGTGCGTCCTTTGGACCTGGGGTCCCTGCACGGAGGGGCTCCAAGTCCAGGGGAACACTGATGAGAAGAAGGCTGACAGAGAGAGAGGGCCTTCCCCTTGAGCTCATGCCCTGGATTTGGACTTGTGGCCTGCTGGACTGTGAGAGAATAAATTTCTCCTTATTAAAACTATCCACTTGTGGTATTTCTGTTAGAGCAGCACTAGATGACTAAGACACTGAGTGTTGAAGGCATTCCGGAATTAGACAGTGGTGATGGTTGCACAACATTGTGAATGCAGTAAAAGCCAATGAACTGTACACTGTAACTGGTTAAAACGGTAAATTTTAAGTTATATGAATACCTGAATTAGGAAAAAAAAAAAAGTTTCAAGAGGCTTTGAAAAATGAAAAAGGAAAAAGAGAAGGAGAAAACCAGCAGTGTCCAGGGACTTCAGAGGAACTAACTTCCTAGAAACAATTTCTGGTTGGCAGTGAGGACTCTTCTTTCCCATAGTCCCCACCTCCTAGTAGCCCATTTCCCCCGGGAATCTAAGTCACTTTAAATGAGTTATTTGTATGATATGTGATTTATACCTCAATAATGCGGTTTAAAAATAATAATAAATAGCCACACCTAAGCCAAAAAAAAAAAAACAGAACAGACTGATGTGATGGTTAAGGTTATATGTCAACTTGGCTAGGCCATGATTCTCAGTAGTTTGGCAGATAGTATGTAATCCTCCATTTTGTGATCTGATGTGAGCAGTCAATTAGTTGAAAGGCCTATCAGTTGAAAGCCAGTGAGTTTCCTTGGGGGTGTGACCTGCATCCAATATATACGGATGTTCTGGCAAAGCTCTCTCTGGATCCTGCGTCTGACTTGTCATCCTCTGACCTCCGGTTCTTGGGATGTCAGCCAGCAGTCTGCTCCCTAACCTGCAGATTTTGGGATCTGTCAGCTCCCACAACCCCAGGAACCAGCAAGCTTCCACTTGACCTGCCGATTTTTGGTTCGTCAGCCACTGCAACCACATGAGTCAGGAGAAGCCTCCAGCCTGATGCCTGACCCAAAGATTTGGGACTTGCAAGCCTCCACAACTGTGTGAGCCGTGTCCTTGAGATAAATCTCTCTGTATGTATATTTACACTTGTGTTGCTCCTCTAGAGAACCCAGCCTAAGACAACTGATTAAAATCAAGAGTAAACTGAAATTACAGTTTAATATTGAAAACAACTTTCAAAACCGAGTAAGAACATAATGAAGTTAACTGAACGCTTCACATGTGAAATACTTACTGAGTACAATGATAGCCTCGAACCTCAGGCTTTGGCTGGTGTTTCTTTAGGTGCTTGCTGAGTCCAGAGCCCCTGTGAAAAGACTTTCCACAAACTGAGCAAAGGTACTTGGACTCTCCTGTAAAAAATAAAAACCACATCACAAATCCAGCAATCAGGTCCACTCCAACAAAATTCTTTATGCTGTATTTCAGAAGTTATTTTATGTAAAGGTGACACAGAAGCGGTAACATTTGGCAGCCAGCCACCTTCTGAGAATAACAACAAACCATGTCAAAATCTCCATTTCCTCTGAACTATAGTACCAGCAAAAGCTACTACGCAAAGAATGTGACACGCTTGCATAATGTATGGATTATAATAGTAACAGAAAAGAATACAAGTTCTAGAGCAGACATCTACCCTTCATCAGCCATTTCCACACATCTGCTGTAAAGCATCTGAAAATAACTATGTGTAGACTAAAAATTCTAATCAAATTATAAGCCACTTACCATGTTGATTTTTACATCTGCCTATTGCTTAACTTTTTTAAAGCATGACAATCTCTTTAGGGGCCTGAATCTAAATTATGCACAATTTAACACCCAGTACGCAATTTTTCTACACTGAGGAAAACATGCTTTTACACAAATAAGACAGCTCTGAAACTAGCTTTAAGAAAACTTCTTAACTTCCAACACTCATTAATTAAAAAAATGTATATACACAACCATCAGTATATATCAATATAATTTCCAATATAATTATAGCATACCAACATAACAGTAAAATAATACTATATGAAATATAAGTATGTCAACATAAATTTCTCACTACCTGTGTGAATGCTCATATGTTCTTGAAGACTTCGTTTGGTAACAAATGACTTAACACAGAGTTCACACTGGAACTGCTTCTGCGATTGGTGGAGACTCTGGTGTAATTTTAGACCATGCTTATAGATAAAAGTCTTTCCACAGACCTAAGACAGAACAGGGGTGTCTGAACCAGTAAAACAAAAGAGAAGGTAGGGGCTTTTTCTGAAGAATGAGAGCAGAGAAACTAGTATGCTATTTTAAATAAAACTTTAAATTAAATTTTAAGTAAAATTAGAAAATGAAAGTTGAAAGCACAAGTGCCACGGATATTAGCTGGTCGATCCCCTTCGAACTCAGCACTTAAAACAAATACTGCTGCTATTTTTCATAAATCCATGTGATCTCTGGAGGAGTTCAAAACAGTGCAAACAAACCTTTTGCCACCCTTGTGAGACTGGTCAACAGTTAAAAGAAAAAACAAACCCCTTGCCATGGAGTCGGTTCTGCCTTGTGGGACCACATGTGTTACGGAGTAGAACTGCTCCCATGCTTATTCCCTATTTCTGTACGTTTCTTCCATGGACAACACTCTGTGGGTAGTGCTGCACTAAAAGACCAGAGGCCCAGTTAATGCTTAGTATTTAAATTGATGAAGAAAATGATGCTTGGTACTTGGCTCAAAATACTAGGACGCAGACGTGGAGTAAGTGAGTGGCAGTATACATACAGTAAGACTGACCCATGAACTGATAACTATCGAAGCTGGGTGAAGGGCACATGGAGGTTCATTCTAGTCTCATATTCTATTCTCAAGTAATAAAAATCTAAAAATGGGAACTAAAAGAAATCTCACTGGTTCTAAAACTGTTTATTAATAAAGACAGCTATTAATAAATACAGCTGCTACTAGAAATTTTTCACTGTTCCAAATAGCCAGACGCTGGCTAATCATAGAGGATTCTTTACCCAGGAGTCATATTTTGGCATTTAGGAACCCTCAGTCCTCAGCTCTAGAAGGACGCATTACATAGGCAGCAGGACTTTTGCAGACCCAGGAGATTTGTTCCAGCCATAGCTTCCTTTCCAGTCCAGGTTGGTCTTGCTGAAGGTTAAGGAATGGTTGGGATGATGAATTGGTCATTCCCACCCAGTACATCCTCTGGACCCTAAAAAGTTCCATGAACATTCTAAATAAATCCATTTCATATTACAACCCCTAACAGCAAACTAAAGAACACAACAACCCCAGAAGATAAGCTAGATAACTGGGATCTTCTAAAAATCAAACACCTATGCTCTTCAAAAGACTTTACCAGAAGAGTAAAAAGAGAACCTACAGACTGGGGAAGAATTTTTGGTCTAATCTCCATAACCTACAAAAAAATCCAACACCTCTACAACAAAAAGACAAATAATCCCATTAAAAAATGGGCAAAGGAAATGAACAGACAATTCACCAAAAAAGACACTCAAGCGGCCAACAGACACATGAGGAAATACTCGTGATCACTAGCCATTAGAGAAATGCAAATTAAAACCACAATGAGATTCCATCTTACCCTGGCATTACTGGCACGAATCAAAAACACTGGAAATTAAATGTTGGAGAGGCTGCGGGGAGATTAGAACTCATATGCACTGCTGGTGGACATGCAAAATGATACAATCATTTTGGAAAATGATATGGCGCTTCCTTAGAAAGCTAGAAATAGAAATACCATACGATCCAGCAATCCCACTCCTAGGAGTATGTCCTAGAGAAATAGGAGCCATCATACAAATAGACATATGCACACCCATGTTCGTGGCAGCACTGTTCACAACAGCAAAAAGATGGAAACAACCTAGATGCCCATCCACAGACGAATGGATAAACAAACTATGGTACATACACAAAACAAAGTACTACACAATGATAAAGAACAATGATGAATCTGTGAAGCATCTCATAACATGGATGAAACTGGAGGACATTATGCAGCGTGAAATAAGTCAATCACAAAAGGACAAATATTGTATGAGACCTCTACTGTAAAAACTCATGAAAAAATTTACACACACAAAGTAACAATCTTTGTTGGCTACGAGGGATGGGAGGGGTGGAGGGGAATACTAAATAGGCAATAGATAAGTGGTATCTTTGGTGAAGGGTGAGACAGTACACAATACTGGGGAAACCAGCACAACTTGTACAAGAAAAGGTCATGGAAGCTCCATAGACACACCCAAACTCCCTGAGGGACTGAATTGCTGGACGGAGGGCTGTAGGGACCATGGTCTTGGGTAACATCTAGCTCAACTGGCATAATACGTTTTATAAAAACAATGTTCTACATTCTACCTTGGTGAGTAGCGTCTGGGGTCTTAAAAGCCTGGAAGCAGCCATCTAAGATACTCCACTGGTCTCACCCCTTCAGGAGCAAGGGAGAATGAACAGAACAGGATATAAGGAAAAGATCAGTCCAAAGGACTAATGGACCACAGCTACCATGGCCTCCACCAGACTGAGTCCAGTACAGCTAGACGGTACCCGGCTACCACCACTGACTGCTCTGACCAGGATCACAACAGAGGGTTCTGGACAGAGCTGGAGAAGGATGTAGAACAAAATTCCATCACACACAAAAAAGACCAGATTTACTGGCCTGAAAGAGTCTGGAGAAACCCCAAGAGTATGGCCCCTAGACACCCTTTAACTCAGTGGTGAAGTCACTTTCGAGGTTCACCATTCAGCTGGGGATTGAATAGCCCCATAAAACAAAATGGGACAAATGAGGCACAGCAGTCCAGGGACAAGGACTAGAAGCAGAAGGGGACAGGAAAGCTGGTGTTAAGGAACCCAAGGTTGAGTAGGGACAGTGTTGACATGTAGTGGTGGTGTTAAATATTGTCAAAGGGCAACGTGTGCTGTTTAATGGAAACTATTCTGTTCTGTAAACCTTCATCTAAAGTGAGAATAGCAGCACAACTGGAAGAACGTAATCAATGTCACTGAACTGTGCACGCAGAAATTTTCTGAAATGGTGTATCTTTGGCTACGTATATTTTCACCAAAAAAAAACGTCGAGAAGGGAGAGGGGTGACATGTCGTGGGGTTGTTAACCAATGTCATAAAACAATATATGTACTGACTGTTTAATGAGAAACTATCTGTAAACCTTCACCTAAAGTACAATAATAAAAAAAAAAAAGAACACAACAGCAATCAATCACCCTTAACCTAGGCAATAAACTGAAGAAGCCACAGATTTCACTTTGACTTTGTACATGAGAGGGGGTGACACTAGCATATACATCAACCAGTCCCATTACCATAGTTAAGTTCCAATCTTCTTTAACAAAATAAATGTAAGGCTTTACCTGGCATGCATGTGGCTTTACACCTGTGTGCTTTAACATATGTATTCGAAGAGAATATAATTTAGGTAATGTCCTTCCACATATGGAGCATATAAACTCTCGTTTGGTTCTGCCCTTCTCAGATGATGTTCCCGACGCCTCGTTGGATGTGGAAGTGGAAGAGGATGAAGTGGGGGCATCTTTTCTGGCATGCCGGATAAGGTGTGCTCTCAAGGAGGCACTGTACTGAAACTGTTTTTTACACAACTAAAAGAAAAAGTAAACAAAGTTCTGTCTAAATGCATTCCATTACAAAATTCTAAGTGAAACTCAACCTGCATTTCAACTTCTCATTTGTTATTATTATATAAATTAATAAACCCATGTATTATGTAAAAGACAATGTGCTGGTACCAGATGCTAAAGAGAGACAAGACCCAGCCCCTACTCCAGAGAGGCTTACGATCTAACTGCAGAAACAAGATTTATATACAAAAAAGGCAAAGCACTCAAGCGGAGGGACTGATGAGAACAATCAGGAAAGGCATCATGCCCGAGGTGGGGGCCTGAAGGAACTGTAGGACCCAGACAGAGACTAACAGTTGTTGGGTGGAGCACAAATAGGCATTGGAAAAAGGAAAAAGAACTATGATAGTTCTTGGATTTTATCCTGTATGTGTTGAGGAGTCATGAAAGCTTTTGTTGTTTCTTTTTAAATCAGTTATATATGCTAAACATTTATAAAAGTGTTTTAAAAACAAAAAAAACAGGTCTCCTCATCCACCCCTCCACCTTTGTTTCCTAGAGGTAACTTTTTTGACTCATTTTTGATGCTCATCTTTGTAACTCTAAGTATCACGCAGGATGGAAGATGACAACCTCTCACCCCTCTACTCCCTACACATACGTAAAAGCTTCCCATTACCCTACCTTCCCAAGATACTTACATTAGAATTTTGATTGCATCAGTTTCAGGGTTTACGTTATTAGGATGGTGTAAATGTTATTTATGACTGGGCCATATAGTACACTATGATTCTTTTTCCTTTCTTGCTTTTTTGTTTTCCACTTTGCTGGTTTCCTTATGTATTTACTACTAATTCATCACCAAATATTTCTCCCAACTGCCCACTGACAGGAGATTTAAAACACATCATGTTACTGGAGCATTTTCAAAGAATTATGTCCTATTCCAACCTGGGACCGTTGTTCCCTATGCTTGTTATACAGTTTCATCCTGAGATCTCCTTTACTACCATCTTGGTGAATCCCTTAGACTCTACTGAACTGGATCCCATGTTTCCTATGCCTTGCTCATTTTGGTGGAACACCTCTGCCAAAAACTGAGGGAGAGGGCCTCGGAGGTAAAACTTAAAACTCTGCATGTCTGGAAATGTTCTTATTCTACTCTCATAAACAACTGACAGTTTGATTGGCTATAGGTTCCAAGTAAGAAACCATTTCCCTTTAGAATTTTGAAGGCACCATGCCTTTGCCTTCCAGCTTCCATTGTTGCTGCTGAAAAGTCTAAAGCCATTCTGATCCTTATTCTTTTCTATGAGACAGAATATCTGTTTTCTCTCTGGCAATTTATAAGATTTTCTCTTTGTCCTCTGTATTCTGAAATTTCATAATGTAGCTTGATATGGATTTGTTTTCATCTACTGTGCTGAGCATTCCATGCACCCTTTTCAATGCACTGAATCAAAGCATTCACCAATTTCAATGTACTTTTTTAATATGCAAACTGATATCCTTAAGTTTTAAAATTTTTCTTTGATTACTGCATCAATTACTTCTTTCCCGCATGTTCTCTGTTTGGAATGATTACTTGGATACTGGACAGCCTAGACCAATCCTGTGATTTTCTTTTCACTCCCATTTTCTAACTTGTCCTTTTGCTCTATTTTCTGGGAGATTTTGTCAACTCCATTTCTCAACTTTACTGAGATTTTTATATTTACCATTATATGTATTTTATTCATAAGATTTTTCTCTTAATGTGCTCTTTTTTAAAGTATCTGGTTATTGTTTTATATTTGAAATTTTTTCATTTATCTCTGATATAAAGGATGCTCTTTTTAAAAGTTTTCTTGTCTCTATATTCTCAGATTTTTCAAAGTTGTATTTCTTGAAACCTTTTGTCATAAGTCTGATGATCACTGGTGTCTGTTCATATTTCAGAGTAAGACATTAAAAAACTAATTGGAATTTCTGTGTAGGGGAGTCAACCATGGGTTTTAGTCAGTTATCTTCAGGTCTACTGTTCAGATTTCTCAAAGATAAGCCTTTCTATCTTTTGCTTTTAGGGTTAAGAGTTTGGCTGCCAACATCCTGGGACTTATGTGGGGAAAGAGAACTTAAAAGTTTCAATATTCAGTATGTAAACTTTTATTTTTCCCTGTTTTTGGCACAGTACATCCACCCTTACTGTAGTGTTCCCCAGAGCAGTTATGGTTTTATCTTTTCCAAAGAGGAGAAGATAGAGCTTTAGCCAAGGAGGTGGGAACAGTGATTTAACTGCTTCTTCAAACAATTTTCTAACAACCAGACCTACCTGTACTTTCAAGGTAGTTGGTACCACCAACTTTTGAATATTTTGGGGGCTCTGGAATATAATTCGGGTTGATTCTTAGCTTTCCCTACTGAAAGCCTAGAATTGAGTTCTTGCAAATCTGCTAAATCAGTTACTAAGACAAAAAAAAAACAAGCCCATTGTCATCAAGTCAATTCCGACTCGTAGCGACCCTACAGCACAGAGTAGAACTGCCCCATAGGGTTTCCAAGGTGTGGCTGGTGGATTCAAACTGCTGTGGAATCCACCACATTCAAACTCTTAAGAGCCGGGCTCTTAAGCACTGTGCCAGCAGGGCTTCTGGTAAATCAGTTACTAGCCCTCCATGTATTTATCAGCTTCAAGAATTTAGTTGCTAAGGACTCCTTATCTGTTTTTTTTGCCATTTTATGAGTTTATATGTATACAGATATATTTTATTGTTGTACTTCAAGTTTACAGTTCAAGTTAGTCTCTCATACAAAAATTTATACATACTGTTATGTGACCCTAATTGCTCTCCCTATACTGTGAAAGCACACTCCTCCTTTCCACCCCTGATTTCCCATGTCCATTCAACCAGCTCCTGACCCTCTCTGCCTTCTCATCTCACCTCTGGACAGGAGCTGTACATTTAGTCTCAGGTATCTACTTGAGCTTGAGTTTGTATTTTTAAAACAATCTTTTTACTGTTGTCTTACTAGGGTATCAGGAGGAAGCAGAGGTAAGTTACTGATTTTTTTTTTTTTTTTTAATTGGCAAGGTGTTGTATCAAAGGATTCTTTCTGACATAATTTACTATAAATCTTTCATGAATGTTTTTTTTTTTTTTGGCAAGGAAATGATATGTACAAATCAAAAGGTGAATCTTATAGCAATATGTAGAATGTTGCAAAAGAGACACAGAATACAATTGGTAGGATAACAATCAAGCAGTAAATAGGATTCTATTTATCATGAAGTTAGACCATCTTTTCAATTAGCTTTCCAGACACTTACTGGACATTTGTAATCTCTAGCTCTTTCATGTTTCAGTGTGTGCATTATAAGGGCATATCGTCTCTGAAAAACCATCCCACATTCCCCACATTTATGGGTTGCTTCTTCGGTGTTCTCTTTAGCATCTCTTTTTGGCTGTTTCATCTTTTTTCCTCTTTGAACTAATTTCTGGGCCACCTATTAAGGGATAGAAAACACAACCTAAGTAAATATACTCATTTTGATTTTTAAAGTTATGAGTCGTGTTATAAATTTCTAACAAAAACACTGCAAATTCACATTATCTTATTGTTTGTATTTGAAATAGTAAGTTGCTTCCCTGCACCCCTCCCAAATAATGTTCACTATAGCATAAGTTTATAAATAGAATGCTTTCACCTGAAGCTAAAACTACAAAGGTCAACCCCTTTACCTCATACCTGTTGAACTGCTGACTTGGGAACAGCTTTCCGCTTCTGCAGCTTTTTCTCCATTCCCTTGTGCAGTCGGATATATCCTCCTTCGCTAACTGAACGCTGCCGAAGCCTGCTTCTGTAAGTATCATCATCAGGGCCAAGGTCTGCCTTTGCTGTCAGTGTAACTAGATTTTCCTGATCTTTTAAAGGTTGGGCAAGGTTCTGTCTATGTTCTGGAGTGTCCTCAGCACAGACATCCTCAGTTGATATATCATTTCCCATATCACTGTTCTCTGGGGAGCTACTGATTACACTGTCTTTTGAAAGTTTAGGAGGAATATTAGAGACTGTGCTATCTTCTCTACTGCTGGAGGTTTCTAGTTTCACCTGGTTGTTCTTTGTTGCTAAGTCAACAGATTCCATTTCAGGATGGCAATCAGTGATACACTGAACAGGTGACAGAGCAGCTTCAGCCTCTGAAGAGACCTGGGGCTCATTCTGTCGACCTAGCTCTCCATTCTGCTCAGCTTCTGGCAATTCTCCATTTACTACCAGTACAATTTCACAATCCTCTAGTTCAGTAGATAAAGTTGCTGTAGTTCCCTCACTGCTAGCCACAGGAGGTGCTATTCTTACTCCATTCTGTTCTGGTAAGTCCTGGGTGGATGCAACTGTTTGTACTTCACCCTTTTTATATACTGTTAGCTGCTTCTCTTCCATCAGTTTGTGTACACTTTCACAGATTTCTAAAACTTCTGACATGAAGAGATGACGAGCCAAGATGGCTACATCAGCCATGCTACAGAAGTCAAAACTTAGCACAGAAGTATAGGCAAATTCTAGTAAAGGAAGGAAACTTGCCTTACAAAAACCTGTATGAAACAAGAAAGGCAGGAGGCAAAAACGTCAATCACCATTAAAACATCTTACAACAACAATTAACACGGATTACGACAATATAAAATAGAATATAAAGGCAAATGTGACCATTTATTTTGCAATTAAACACCCCTGGATTTGTTTTGTGTTCTGTTTGCTTATTAGACCTTAACTAACTCCCTTCTATGAGCCTAAGTATCTCAGTACCTAAAACATAAGATATTATCAGACTTACTACCTCAAAGAGTTGTTGTAAGGCAGTCATTTTCAAACTGTATTCCTTTAGAACCCCAGGGGTTCCAGAAATTCTCCTCAAGAGACAGTTGTTGGACAACGGAAAGTAGAAAAAGGGAGGGAGGGAGGTGAGTAGGCAGGGGTTCAACCAACCTGTGCTCTAACCGCACTTCTGGAAGTATAGCTGTATTTTTAATAATAGAAACCTATACTAAAATTTGGCTGGGCAAAGGGTGGTATGACTAACAATTAAAAACCAAGGTCTAAGGCAGGGGTCAGCAAAATTTTTCTGCAGAGTCACATGCTATATATCGCAGGCTGTAAGGTATCAACTCTGTCATGCAGCTGGAAAACAGCAGCCATAGATAATATGCTAATGAATCAGTGTGGCTATGTTCCAATACAGCTTTATTTACAAAAATAACAAGGGGAAAGGTTGGCCCTTAGGCTGTAGTTTGCCACCCCTGGTCTAAGGAAACACATGAGGTATTCTTATTTTGTTCGAGAAAATAAGGTGAGTTTATTTCTAAGTTCTCAGTGCTTCAACTTTCAAAAGCCATTTAAAATTTTTAATAAATGACTCAAAACTGAGGAAAGACGAACGATTACACACTCATACCCAGTATGACTAAGTATTTGTATAGCTCCCCCAAGTTTGTTTATACTTAGGCAGGTATTCTTCTTCCCCTCCTTATACTAGGTGTCACTAGGTTACACACACAGTTCTGCACTTTGCTTTTTTCATGTGACGATTTATCTTTGAGATCGTTTGTTAATATATAGAAAGCCAAAGCAACCTTTTAAAAACTCCCATTTGCTGTGTTTGTCAGTTTTAACTCAAAGGACATAAAAAGTGGTCCTTTTACGTAGGAAGACGGAGGATAGACGAGTATACAGAGAAGCCTTGAGCTGTGAGATATATTGGAAGCTGAAAAATAAGAAGACTGCACACCAACATATCATCATGGCTAGCTAATTCAGCCATTCCCAGGAAAACTGATAACTAAATAGGCTGAAACCATCTTCATCCTGCTACAAATTATGAGAACAAGTTAAGCCTGAGGTAAGCAAGAAAATTTGTCTTAAAAAAAACAAAATCACGTACCAACAAAATTATGTATTTGGTCTTTTATCTAATACTTTTTTAATTTCTAAGTTCAAAATTGTAAGAAAAATTTCCCATGAACCATCAGAAACAAACAGGCTGAATCAGATCAACAAAGATTTTAAATATTGTTATCACACATTAAAAAAAAAAAAAAAAAAAAAACCTTCGTAGTTTGTTCTGGAAAATTCTAGTTAGTTAACTCTGTAGCTGTGTCTAATTTGCTGTTAATTTTAGGCTTTGTAGGTCATATGGTCTGTGTTGCAACTATTCAATTTTGCCCTTAGCTCAAAAGCAGAAACAGTAAGATGTAAATGGATAGGTATGCTGTGTTCCAACAAAACTTCATTTACAAGAACAAGATGCAGCCTGGAATTAGCTTGAATGCTACAGCTTGCCAAATCCTGCTTCATCAGGATTTTAAAAAAATAAGTCAATAAAACTCTTGTAAGAATAAAAAATGAGAGAAAAATTACAACCAATTATCAGGAATAAAAATGGGGACACAACTACAGTTGCTGCAGACATTTTGAAGAGGATATTATGAAAATTTTGTTCCAATTAACCTGCAATTTTAGATGAAATAGACAAATTCTAGAAAAATATAGTTTTATATAAATTACTCAAGATGAAATTAAAAACCCAAACAATTCCCTAACCAGTAAGTTGTCATATTTTGTAGTTAAAAATCTTCCTCCAAAGTACATTGCAGGCCCAGGCAATTTAAGCCAAAATTCTACCAAAAATTCAAAATAAAAATAATTCTAATCTTATAGTAACTATTATAGCGTACGTAAAAAAATTAGAGGAAAACACGTTTTACAAGGCCAGAACAACTCTGATATCAAAACATGACAGAAATAGTGTGAAAATTACGCATGACTACAGATGCAAATGTTCTAAACAATATTAGCAAACCAAACATAGCAATTCTATGAAAGGTAATCATGGCTAAACTCGATTTACCTGAGGAATGAAAAACTGACTTAACATTAAAAAATGAATGTAATTTTGCACACTACAGAATAAATGAGAAAAATAAAGATGGTCTCAATAGATGCAGAAAAAGTATGTGATAAGAACATCCATTTCAGAGGAAATCTCCTTTATGTTAAATGTGATAAACGTCTATTAATTAAAAACATTTACCAAATTATGTACTTAATACTGAAAAAGCACCTCCTATTAGAATTGGGAATGAGGTAAGAGAACCCTCTATTGTCATTTTTATTAAACTGCTGCTTTTTTTGAGGTCCTAGCCAACATTGTAAAACAAGAAGTTCAAACTATAAGAACTGGAAAGGGAGAAACAAACCATTATTAATAGCAGATAACAGGTTTATTTTATGTAGATAATTCCAAAGCATCTATAGATAAATGTCTGAATTGTTATAGGAATTTAGCAATATCAGTGTATACAAAATTAACGTACACCAAAAATAAATTAGAAAGTATATAGTTTTAAGAGAAACAAATTATAATAGTATCAAAAACTATAAAGTTCTTTGGAATAAATCTAACAACAGATGTGTGAGACCTTTATGGATAAATCTGTAAAACTGTAGTATTAATTCAATGCAATCTCTATCAAAATTCATTCTTTTCTCTTTCTTTTTTTTTTTTTTGTTTTGTTTTGTGGAAGTCCATAGCTGATTTTACAATTTACATGGAAGAGTAAAGGGTTATGAATAGCCAAAAATCACCCGATAATAAGGGTAAGGAACTTTCTTTATCTGATAAAGAATTACTATAACGCTAAAGTTACTAAGACACACATCACACATATACATACACACATCCCTCTTCCAGAATGGACTTAAAAACGAAAAGCAAGAATATCAGAAAATTCTTACCAGAAAGATCCACCACAGTCTCATGACTGGAAACAGCTCCTTTTTCAAGGAAAAGATCTCGAAAATATTCACTATTAGCTGACAAAACAGATTTATGAGCTTTGTACTCTTCTCCTTCAATTAACAAAGTAACATCACAGAACTGGTTGGAGAGTCTCTGCTGGTTCAGTTGTTTTAAGACAGCCTGACAATGTTTTGGAGAAGATCGTTTTACCACACCTTTCGTGTCAACCTATCAAAATAAGTTTAAGACCCAGAGTTGAATTATACATTATCTATATTTTCAGCTTTGACAGAACTTAAAACAAGACAAACGATTCCTTTTTAACAGATATCACTAATTAAAATGAAGAAACAACCTGATATTCTCTTTGTTACCCACGTATTTAAGTAAAAAGATATCTTGTCCTCACTATTTTGTTTCGCTCTACTTGACCTAATAAAATCTTCCTACTGTCTCTTCTTACTAATCAGGAATTTGATAATGTGCAAAACTGATAAAAACAGACAAAAAACAAAGATCTAGCCAGTCTGATTTACCTTACCACATGACCCGGAGACTGCTTCCAGAAACGTGTTGTCTCCCTTAACAAACTACCATTAAAAAATGAGAGTGGTAATTAACAACAAATCTGTAGGCTATTAAGTGCATTCTGGAGAGAAGGAACAATAGGAACATCTGAAGAGGTGGTATTAGCATATTTTTAGCTTATATAACATAGTACATTACCCACTGTGTCTTATTCAACAAGTTCTACTTCAAGCACATAAACCTACTCATAGCTTCAATGTCAGTGCCAACAGTCACTCAGTCTTGGTGATTTGAGAAAAATAAAATTCTCCAAGTCTGCAAATACTGACATACTATCTACAAACGTTAAAGTGGAATGAAAAGTACCACTTACAAATACAAGTTCATGTTTGGATACTGGCTTCTTTCTCACAGGCTTAGAGGCTGTAGTTGGAGGTGAAGTAAAGTTGCTCAGGTCATCCTCTGATTCATTACTTTCTTCTCCAGACTCAAGGTCTAGCCCCAATTCTTCCAACATTTCTGAGGCATCTGATATTGGACGAGAACGATCTAGTTTCTCCTGACATTTGCTACACTGTTTAATGTAATCTTTGACTTGCTTTAATATACCTACAATGGAAAAACATGTATACAGGTCCACCTTAATATTGCTGTTACTTGGCAACTGAAGCATATACTGTATCATTATTTATTTAATCTGTGTAACACTAACATATGTTTGAGTGCATAAGTGCCGAAACCATATTCCCCATGAAGTATGTAAAGTGAGTTCTTTAAAATGTATGGTACTTTTTTCCCTCAAAGATATAAAGTTATAAATGATGGTTCATTTTCATGCTGAGGTAGACGGTTTTGTTGTTTATTCCCAGTTATTTATTCCCTCTCCCTAAAAGACGATTATGCAGCCCCACCTGTTTCCATGTGAGTTGCAATGCATTCGTGCAATAGGAACTATATGACATTGACAACATTCAACTCTTTTTGGTTTATATAAACAGCAATTTAATAAGACTCAAATTAATGGTTTCCTACCCTACTGATATTAGGAGTCCCTGGGTAGCGTAAACATGCACGGCTACTAACTGAAAGGTTACGGTCCAAATCCACCCAGAGGCACCTCGGAAGAAAGGCCTGGCAATCCACTTCCAAAAGGTCATTGTTGTTAGTTGCCGTCAACTTGATTCCGACTCATGGCAACCTCAGGTGTCCAAAAGGTCACAGCCATTGAAAACCCGACGAAATACAGTTTTACTCTGAAACACAGAGTCACCATGGGTTGGAATTGACTTAATAGTAACTGATTGTTTGGGTTAAAATCAGGCTTGACCATGCAATTTGCTTTGGCCAATGAAATATGACTGGACATGCTGTGTACCATGTCTGAACAGAAGCTTTAAGAGGCACTGAGTGTTTCCCGCCAGTTCTCTGGCCTTTTCTCTCTCTGGTAAAGGAATAGCATGTCCCAGATGGATGCTGTCCTTTGGCCTGGCCTGCAGATGAAAAAACACTGGTGGAGCCTACAACCAATGCTCCCAACTTGTGATGAGACCGTAAATTAAGTCGTTTGTTTTTGAAAGCCTGATTTTATTTAGGGCTGTATGAAGGAACAGCACATATAATCTAACAAACACTGATGTACAAAGCCACTCACGAAAGCCTATTTTTGAATTTAACTTCCAGCTCAGCATACTGGGGTGGGGATGGAGGAGCAGGGAGAAGACTTTATGTGCACGTCTGCATTACTGAACATTTTGAGCGAAGATTCTACAGAAGAATCCTGATCAAAAGGGAGAAAATGTAAGACAGAATTTCAAATTCTCATGGAATCCAGTCTTGCTAAAGCCATGGAGGCTGGATGGACCCCTGAAATTACTGCCCTGCGATCATCTTTAAACCTTAAATCAAAAATATCCCCCAAAGTCTTCTTTAAACCAAACAATAGCTTAACTAGTAAGGAATGTCTGCCTTGAAATCATCTTTTTAAGATGTACCTATTTGGGATTAACTGACAACAGCAAACTCAAAAAATTAGATACGACACTTAATGGGGTGAAACAACTTGGAAAGGAGGGTGAGAATGGTTGCACAACTCAAAGAATGTAATCAGTGTCACTGAATTGTACATGTAGAAACTGTTGAATTGGTGTATGTTTTGCAAAAAATACATATAAGTAAATTTCAGACAAACAATGAATATTTTTAAGTATGTCCCATGCAATATTTGCGACATATTTATACTAAAAAACTTCATTGTTTATTTGAAAAACATTTAAAAAAAAGCATTTACATGTGCACAGACTTAGAGGCCAACAGAGGTTATATAAGGAGCCATGGTGGCACAGTGGTTAAGCTCTCAGCTGCTAACCAAAAGATTGGCGGTTCAAACCCACCAGCTGCTCTGCCAGAGAAAGATGTGGCAGTCTGCTGTTCCCATAAAGATTACAGCTTTGGAAACCCTGTGGGGCAGTTCTACTCTGTCCTATAGGGATTCCAACTACATGAGTCTGAATCGACTTGTCAGTAAGGTGTTTTAGGGTTTACATTCTACCGTTTGATGTTAAAATCAATAACAAGTCTGTACTTGTATGAGATAGGCAGTGAGGTTTTATGATTCTATACATTTAAGTATATTCTGCATATAACAGAAGTTTGATTAAAGTATTAACTGGCTGAATTCTAATGGTATTGGAGAAACTACACAGAAAGCATTTGAAACAGGATGAAAAAGAGTAAGAAAAATTACAGGGAAAAAAGATACCAACGTATAATAATCCATCAACTATCTCAAAATTCACCCTATTATTTGTTTTTGGTGGAATCTTCCACAATGGTTATTAGAAGATGTCGCCCTAACTTTTTCTCCTGTTTTTTTTTTTTTGGGGGGGGAGATATAGTAAAATATCCATAAAATTTACGATTCTAAGCAGTGAATTGAGTATAGAATTCAGTGGTGCTACACAGATTCACAATGTTGTATAACCATCTACTATCTCCAGATTTAAAAAATCTTTTTATCATCCTAAATAGAAACTCTATACCCATTAAACAATAACTCCCCCATTAGCCCCTCCTCCAGCCTCTACTAACTTCTATTTTACTTTCTGTCTCTATGAATTTGCCTATTCTAGGTATTTTTTATAAGTGGAATCATACAATATTTGTCCTTTTAAATCTGGCTTATTTCACCCAGCATAACATCATCAAGGTTAATCCCTGTTGTAGCACGTATCAGGATTTCATTCCTTTTTATGTCAGCATAACATTCCACTATATGTACCTATTATGTCTTACATATCCTTTAACTCCAGAATATCAGCATCTTGATGGGATCATCTTAATTCTAGTTTTACAGATTCAGAAACTTGACCTCCTCAGTTCATCCAGAGCTGATCAGGCTTAAAGAATCTGACTCAAGTTAACCACTGGACACTAACATATAAATATAGTTAACTATTTTAAGAAATTACTGCAAGGATTGAAATTATTTATATAGCAGACCAAAGCTTAAATCCACTAACTAGGTCTGTGACCTTGGCCAAGTCACTGAACTCTGTGCCTTTGTGTCATCTGTAAAACAGGGATAATAGTGTTTACCTTACAGGGCTGTTATGAGGATTAAATGTTAATATTTATAAAACAATTTGAACAGTGTCTGACACGCAGTAACGCTACATAAGTGTTTGCTAAATGATTCTCTCACTAGTCAACCTCTCTTGTACTGCCCCCCAATCCACATAAAATATCAAGTTACCCACCTAAAATGCATCGATTGGTCCCAAGCTGCCTGGAGTAAAGTAGCATGAAGAACACCACAGACACAAGAAAAGTATTAGCCCAAGAGACAGAAAGGGCCACATAAACCAGAGACTTCATCAGCGTGAGACCCAAAGAACTAGATGGTGCCCAGCTACCACCAATGACCACCCTGACAGGAAACAAACAGAGAGTCCCTGACGGAGTAGGAGAAAAGTGGGGTGCAGAACTCAAATTCTAGTAAAAAGACCAGACTTAATGGTTTGACTGAGACTGGAGGGTCCCCAGAAGACATGGCCCCCGGACTCTGTCAGCCCAAAACTAAAACCATTCCCGAGGCCAACTCTTCAGACAAAGATCAGACTGGACTACGGGACATAAAATGATACTCGTGAAGAGTGTGCTTCTTAGCTCAAGTACATACATGGGACTAAATGGGCAGCTCCTGTCCAGAGGTGAGATGAGAATGCATGGAGGATCAGCAGCTGTTTGAATGGACACGAGAAATCTGGGGTGGAAAGGATGAGTGTGCTGTCATAGTATAGGGAGAGCAACTAAGGTCACATAACAATGTATGTATAAATTTTTGTATGAGAGACTAACTTGAATTGTAAACTTTCACTT